AAAACAAATACATGATCAGACAATTATTGCACCCCAATTCCAAGCATTCGTTGACAGGAATCATCGTTGAATTAGAAGCCGCAAAATGATAGGATCACGAATGGTAAGGCTCTCTCGTTTGGTAAGCGAAATTATTGGCATTTTCCGGCCTGTAATGGTTGTCCAGCGAATAAACGACGGGAAAGGGTCCTAGAGCATTGGGAATTTAAAGGGCGTGCGCGGGATCGCATTTACGCGTCGGATGCACGGCTCTGATTCAATTTATACCCCCTGGCCGCGCGTTTCCGGCTCTGACCGCACATCTTGCGCAGCACTTCGTTCGCTTCCGGAACCGTCGCGTCGGATGACGTCTTTCCTACTATTCCACTGGCCTTTCCACTGTCTTCCATGATATACGAGAACGTTTCTATATCCTCGCGCCGCCGATGATTCTCCGCCGGGGTGAACACGCGGAGGGTCCAGGGGTGACACGAATAAATCGCGCTGCAAAATGGATCGGGCGACGTGCAGCGGGCTACGTCACGCATCGACGAGTGTCAAAACACCGTGGAGGTTTGCCGCGTCGCGACGGACCCGGGCGAAGCATTAAAGGGCGGCGAGCTAATGGACAACTGGGATCGTCCGTTTTCTCTCTACATCGGTTACTCCCGAAGGAATTGTCACTACAGGTCGTGAAACGACGGTGATGGACACTTCACTCACGGCATCACTCTTTCAAGGATTCTTTTACGATGGGGGATAACTCACGCTTCCAATTTTTAATGCAAACGAAAGAACATTTGACAAACATTAAAAAATTCAGATAATGAACGACGGAATTATTTAACGCGGACAATTATTGCGAATTGCATACACTCTGCAGCCGGTGATACTCGGAGATCGGAAAATGTATCTATTTTATTTGCCGGGTAGGGGACACGCAGGAACTGGATACGACGTATGCTAGTTCGAAATCCCGGCAAAACTCTCCCGAGGGGAAAGCCGAGGATATTGAATATCCTGCGTGTTTATTCGCGCGGTGGCGGACCCGCGCGTATACAGGAAACAAAATCCTGTGCCCGAAGAGTAATATACGATCACTCACGTCAAAGTCTTTTATCGCGGTTAAAGTTGTCTGAAAATAGACATGTATAAAATCAAGTCTACCTAATTTTTTGTCATAATGATTGCAACTCTAATTCTCCCAAGAAACAAATGCACAGAACTGTAGTAGTCACGGACGATGAACTCCTTTGGCAGAGCCAACGGCAAATCCAGATCTCTGGTGTACGGTCAAGAGATCGTAGGTAGCTTTACATCGCTGCGTGTAACTTTAGTACACCGGGAGACAAATGGTAGCGGTTATCTCGAAGGGGCCGACGATGGCAAAGGGAAGGATAAAGAGAAATACGAAGAGAACCGTGGAATGGAGACCGTGGAACCGTTAGGAAAACGGCGGGGATGGAAGAGCCAGGGCGGAGACCGGGCCGAATAAGGAAGATGGGATGAAAACATCGATTGCAGGGGCTTGTAACATCGCGGTACGAACAGAGGGATCAGGCCGAGCGATAAACCAAGCGGCCTGGAAAATGCCGGATCAACGGCGCGATGTTTCAGCAAAAACTGTCTAGAATCGGTACAGCCGCGGCTCAAGGAGAATCGAGGAGAATGAAACGAGTCGGAGAAAGAACAGAGTATCTCTTCCTTCTCTTCCATCCCCTTTCACCTTTTCGTTTCTGCTCTGGACCAGAGCTAACTCTGTATATGTATAGACGTTTATGTGCCCAGACCTCTCGCGTTATATGCGACATTACACCACCTTACCCTCTTGGACTCTATCCCTTCCACGCTCGCGGATCCCGACGGATTTATGAGGAAAGTAATACGAATTAAACTGACGTTTGTCCCCCCTTGGTTTCTTTTATGTTGCGTGTCAGGGTACGTACGAAGAAAATGTTGGGAAGACGGTTCGTGAAATTGAGATACGAAATGCCCTTGATATAATGAAGATAACTTTTGACAAGAACAATTTTCTATCTAAGACGAAACAGAGTAGATGTATAATTTATGAAAATGATATTCTGTGATGGAGGATTAATAATTAATTGATGTTATTACATGTACAGTAAAATGTCCTAATAAATTATAAGAATATATTTTACGCCAGTATTTGTTACTAATTTGCCATAATAAATACAATAAATGTCTATCCTTATTGTGTTATTTGATACAAGTCGCAGAATTTCAAAATCAAAGTGACACCTACGAAAGGATAATGGAATTTAATTGGAGACGTGTTTCTATCTTATTGATATCATACCGATCGCAAGAGAGCTATTTTATCAGAAATAAATAAAGTTTTATTCCCGTCTACTGGTCATGTCCCAATCTTCCTTCGAGCTGAATCGGTAACATTGGAAACGACACAGTAATCAAGCTTTCTTATCTAAATTTATGAATATTGACGATTTTAAGAATCTCTGCAATTGGAATAATGATAATTATGAAAAATTCGAATTTCTATAAAAAAATTCCTGTCGGTTAACAAGCTAGTAACGTTGCTGCGGCAACGTGTTGAACCCTGTATCATCTGCTCTGTCTACTCGATAAGTCTGATTTTACTGCTTAACCGTGCTTCTGATCTGACTCGGTTTCACAACATTTACTCCATTTACTCAGGACGTATCAAATATTTAACTACATTGATACGGATTTGGAAGTGTAACAGGTTCGTAAATTTTATTAATTCAATTCATCCTCCACTGTGACTAGAAATCCTTGAGCCACGCTCCGTACTACGTTGACTGCTCAAAAAGCTGACATGGCACTGTACGGCACCACCGGCCGGTTGTGTCGGTGTTCGTTTGTCATATACAAACGCGTATACACATATACATACGCGCATCCCTGTAGCTGCACTTGTTTGTATTATACATTTCACGTTCGTTCTAATAAATGATTAAAACACGCTGAATATTATTTAAATATTTAATCAATCAGAAATCGTTATACAATATAAAAGATTTTCGTACAATTATTTTTTATTTTTTCGCGCTAAACGAGTTCCAATTGATACGCTGTTTAGTGGTGCCCCTCGCAGGAATAACGAAAGCTACTATAAACATCTCCCGAAACTTGATAAAAATTTTACTTATCATCATTGTTAATAAAAGAAAAATACTAAAATATCAAGAATAAATATTAAAGACGATGAGAGAGAAAATAGTTCGGATACTCTCTTCCTCTTGCCCAAGCACGTGATTAGTTGATGCGTCTGTATCTCTACTGTTAGAGAGAGAGAGAGAGAAAGAGAGAGAGAGAGAGAGTGTGTTAGTACTCAAACATGATCCAAACTATTGCTCTCTCTCGCTCTCACCGTCGTCTGCACTTTTTCACTCGACATGCTTCCTCCATGTAATACATGTTCTTATTTTCACTGATAACATGATAACGCAAATAATGCAATGTAAATCTGCAGTAACGTCGGTACACGAAAACGTACGGATAAACCTAATATCGATCGCGCGTGCGTTTCAATTTTATTCCCCTACATTCAACGTACCGTGCGCTTCCATCAATCAGATTCTTCATCGAGCGTTTAAACGAAGCGAAGAGTTTTGAATTCGCGCGATTGGATCATTCGGAAATCTCTCGACTTCTGTCACTGTTCAGGGAACTATTCAAACGTGAACTGGGTAATTTAAGTAATACAATTTCCAATTTTATTACGGAGACTGTCTTCGTATTTTATAGTACCACTTCTGTCGTACTAAAACTTTATTTTGCGAGTGAGAAATATCGTAATTTATAGATCGTAAATGCGTGTGCGTTTACAATTGAGTTGCATAAATTTTTATTCTCAAAGAGTCAAGCAGGCTCCCAATTGTTCTTTATCGTAGACTGCGTGGTTGAGTTTATATACTCCAGTTGATAAGAATTGATGCTATATTATATTTACTTGCCTGAGAAAGATAGAATCACCTTTTCAGCACGATAAAAACATAAAATATGTTCTTCATACAATTCCTGTTTACAGACGCTTCTGCGGTTAAGAAAATGGAAATATCTATCGTTCACTGTTTTGTCGGATACACGTATAAGACGTTTATGCAATTTATTGCGACGAAGAAAATAGTTTCGCATTCAATGATTCATTAAATTGATGCAACTGTTCGGTAACGTTTATTCAAATCGTTTCTCTTCAGAGCTTGTAATGGATAATCGATTTTACATATTCAAAGTTTATTAAACAATTTGTATGAGTGAGTCAATAAGAACTACTGTTTGAGAAGAATGATTGTTTATTGATTTGATTAAAAGGAACTTTCATAAGACAATGTTTATTTCCTGTATTTTATCGAAGTTAAAATTCATTTTTTAAAACCAACCATTCTGTAAAATTAACTAACAAAGTAAATTTCAAATGGTACTTCATATTAATTCAGTATATATAATAATATATAAATATTTGCGAATATCTCAGAAACGAAGATCAAACGACGATAACGTATGTGTATATAAGAGAAAAGAGGTCTGTTACGTTCTTTATTATACAAAAACGGTTGAAGTCCTTCTTCAATGAATCGACGTTCAATTTGAAAAACCCTTTTAAAACTTCGACGAAGTTTAGCTTCGACAGAACAATTTGAAACTTCAGCAACGGATTATCGCGGACCTTAATGAAGTCTTCCAACCATTTGGAACAAATCGAGCGACACAATGAATTCACAGTTTTCTGTAACAGCGTAATTAAATTTAAATGACGTCGGCGTCGCGCGGGCATTCATTACTAGCAGCGAAATTTTTGCCCTGATTTCGACATCGGATTCCGAATCAGGCAGACGGGAAATTAAATTCTGTACTGAAACTCGGCCACAAAGTTGGAACTCCCTGGTTTCATTCATAGTGACAAATCCTTCGAATGAAAAAAGTGCATTTCGTAACGAATTTGTAACAATCACGACGACTGATTGCTATAAAATGGGTTTCGTTCGAACGTTTTTTGTACATTTGTTTCAGGCATGTCAGCCAACAAGGAGAGAATATGCGACGTGGAGCAGGTTCCCGTTTCGCAGCCAGGCGAAAAATTGTCGAGAAGGATAGCCGCTTTGACCGATCATTTCCAGTCCAAATACAACGTTAAGCCTGCGTTCTTCGTCAGAGTCCCAGGGAGGTAAATAATTGTTTTGATACATAAAATAAAAATCGCACGCTGAGATATTTTTCTTCGTTGCACTGCAATTAATCGCTTCGTCCAATAATTGCAGTTGTTCTCTTTATCTCTTCGTAGAGTAAACTTAATTGGTGAGCATATCGATTATTGTGGATATGCTGTTTGCCCGATGGCCATCGAGCAACACATACTTCTTGCAGTAGCTCCATCGAAAGACAAGATCATTCAACTGACGAACATAGAGCCGAAATACAAGGACTTCAAGTGCAATTTGAAGGACATTGAGTGAGTAAAAATTCTAAATTTATATTAAAAAATTACAATAAAATTTTAATATATAATTATGTATATATATTAAAAAATTACAATTAAATTTAGGCCAATATTCAGAATCGTTGCTTATTCTTAAGATCGTCTTAAGCATTTGCTATCCCTGTCTATTCCATATTTCCAGTCCCTGTCTTGTGCAAGAAACAGGGACTTAAGCAAATGCTTAAGACGATCTTCAATATAAGACTCTGAATATCAGCCATAAATTAGTTGAATGTGCAACACCGAATATTTAGTACATGAAACTTTGGGTCAGTTTCATCAAACTTTACTCTATGCTCGAAGATTGTGATACGCAGTTCAAGTTCGTCCAATTACCGGCAGTTACCCTCATTTGTTCCAAGCGAACCATATTGTGTAAGACACCGACCCTCAGAGTGCAATTTGTTTGCTCACCGGTTCATCGATAGAGCGATATCGCACGGTATCAAGGTACCAAGGACAAACTTAATATGTACGTCCCTTTGGAGTGTGTAAGTAATTGGAGTGTTATGCTACACTCCACTTCCGCAAACATGATCTAGGTTCGGGTTGCAAATTTACCGTACTATCTCTTCGGTATCTCACTGTGTACAGCAGTTTCGTACTTACTGTGGACGCATGAAAAATACTTTGACATGCATTATACACAGAGCCAGCGCGGAAAAATATCCTATCGGAATTCTCAGTTTCTACTATGTATGATAATATTTCTTAACATAATCGAGAGAAATAAAATGAAATCCAAATAAAGCTGCATTTCGCTTTGGGAGTTCTTTGTTTTCCATGTATTTGTAAAGAATCGAGTAATTGATTCGGGCACAAAGAACGAGATAGAATAGATTGAAAAGGAATGCAATACAAAATTCCGTGCAGAGCACCGGAATGCAATTTCACTGTAAAAAATTTTGCGATGCATTTCTCGCGGGGGACAAAAATAAATGGGATTTAGTCTGACGTGAAACTAATTCGCCGGAAAAGTACCGAGCCGGCGCGCGGCCTAGCGACGCAGTTTCTTCGGATTAAAAAGGATCGCAATAAAATGAAAGGTGGAACGATAAAACTGACCAAGTAATTTGATTAGCCGTGCCGTGTTTAGCGGCCGTCAATTGAAAGTCCCCCGATCCCCTCAAAGAAGTTTGCTGCTAATACCTAGTGGTCGTGAAACGTTGTCTCACTAATGATCGAACGATTCACGAAACCATGGGGCGACACGCCAAGCAGACGGAAAATGAGACATCGAGGTGTTTAACAAATTAATTGAGAATATTAAAAGAATTCGAAATAAGGTTTAATCAAATATATCGTTTGCGTTTCTTCGTAACTGTGTGACGCAGTAATATTTACGCTTTGATCACGTCGGATTTAAATTGAGAGAAAGGAAACAGTCAAGCATTTCTGGCATCTTTTCCAGTCATCGCAATTCCGGGACTTCAGAATATAATTACTAGCAGTATCTTCTTAGCGAGTTAGCGAGAGAGAACAAAAATCAAGTTCGCTGCGATGCAAATGAAAAGCGGATAACGCTGAGAAGCGGACATAATTCCAACGTCTTTTATAAATGCGTATTTCATTGTTCGTTGGTTACTCTTGTCAACTCTTTCGCATAGCATGCGCAGGAATCCATGAAATTTGCAGGAGTTGTTCCAAAGAAACTAATTTGCTGAATAAAAGACGAGCATAAAATTCATGCCGGAATCCACTAAGAAAAATGTGAAAACGGAATTACTGCAAAACATTATTCAGGAATGGCCGTCTCCGAGGTCGTACTTTTTCAAAATACTTTTAGCGCCTTGCGTTTTATGAACTTTTATCGCGCTGCCTATAGGGACTCTAGTAAATGGCATGAAAATAAGGATGGGCACCAACATAATCGCGAATGAAGAGAAATAAATGTAACATTTTCTACCCAGTGTTTGCATCAAACATGCCGGCAGCGGCCCGGACTGGTACAAATATTTTCTCTGCGGTGTGAAAGGAGCACTCGAAGCGATCCCGGAGGAATGCGTACCTACGGGAATCCTGGCTGCAGTTTGGGGCAACATTGCTCCTAATTCTGGACTCTCGAGTTCAAGTGCACTGGTCTCCGCCGCAGTTCTCTCGACTGTTCATGCCAATCACGTAAGTGTCTACTCTAAACGTGAGATAGTAGCGTTTCTTTAATTCAAAACAATGTCATAAACAATATGAATAAAATAAGTGACGTGGTAATTCCGGAAAAGATTATTTTAAAGCGCGTTAGAGACAGTCCAATATCCTAAAAGGAACAGATTATTTCGTATGACAAAGGTAGAAACCATCGCGAAATGGTATGTTTGACGAACAAATGAGGAATACAGAGGCATGGCCGCCGCTCCGCGAACTCGCAATTTATAAGTCTACGTGATTAACAGGCTGTGCGAGGTGTCGGTATCACGTTCCGGATACAGCCGTTTTGTTATGATTAAATCACGTACATACACAAACGGATGACATCGCGGTGCATCTAAATACGTCGTTGTCGATGCATTCGTTTGCGTAGGCGAGACAAAAAAAAGATTTTCTTTATTCCTCTCTGAGTCGACGAGAGAAGTAAAATCACGTCTTTCTTTTCCCTCGACACCGCAACGGGACTATTGTTCTCTTTTTCTTTCTCTCTCTCTCTCTCTCTCTCTCTCTCTCTCTCTCTCTCTCTCTCTCTCTCTCTCTCTCTCTCTCTCTCTCTCTCTTTTTCTGGAGGCTTCCGAGATCGATGAGGAAACTTTCGCGGACCCTAATATCTCTTTCAATAAAGTCACTAGCACACCGACCTTCGAGATTATGCGTCGACTGCTACCAAATGGAATCCCAAAAATTCCTGATATCTTCTTGTCCATTAACCGCACAACCGCCAATGCTATCGGTATTTGAGGCGAACAAAATCTATTTTCGATAACTTTTACATATGACATAGAAACCTGAGCCACAAAATTGATCCACGAATTTCATAGTAAAACTTGAAACAAGCAATTAATACCGAGGCACAAATTGCAACGAAAACAATATGTATATTTTGTATTTGCCTAACGCGAACGGAACGAATCGCCAATATTCGTTTGCAGTTTATCGTCGTTTTTATGCTTCCAATAAGAGAAATTCAACGCGACGTTGTTTTGTTCTCGTCCGCTAAAGGTTTGGAGAAAATCGTTTTGAGGATTAACTCGGACTTTTATGCTCCGTACGCTTCTCACCGTATCATTGTAGCGTCTCTTCCTAAAACAAATACTATTGCAAGTTTTATTACGTATTACAAATAAGTACAAGCAAGCAAAAAAGAATATTGGATTTATGGGATTACAGAGAAATCGTCAGTTTAAAAGATCTGCGTTTCGTCTACTAGATAAGTTCGCTGAAATTTGTTATATATTACCGTGATAAGTATTAAAAAATAACATCCCGCGGAGTGCCATTGCATCGGATCGAGAATTTAAATGAAATATATTTGAAACGATAGCAATTTCCACGATTTTCATTCGTCCCATGTTTCAATAATTTTCTGAGGATTCTCCAACTGGTTCCAACATCCGGTTTAAAACAAATTTAATTAACGATTCGTCGTCGTGCGAGTTTCATCCGGAAAGAAAATGGGACAAGTTAGTGTTTCCAATTGAAGAGCTCTCGTCGTTTTCGCAATTAGCAGATCCACTTAGCTAGAATATTTTTAGAGTGGACAGATATTTGCTACAGTGTTATTCCTGCAACGTTATAAATTAAAAATAAACCTGGTAGAGACAGGATGCAAAATAGAATCGTGAAACAAGATAAACATTCAATTCGAGAAGGAACATGTTTTATTATTGCAGCAACGATTTACGAAGCGTGAACTGGCTACACTCAGTGCCGATGCTGAAAGATACATCGGCACCCAAGGTGGTGGGATGGACCAGGCGATCGCATTTTTAGGTAAAGCAGGTAGGTAATTTTTTGTCGACGAAAAACAAATCATGTTTGACTCTGAAAGCGTTATATGCGGATACACGTATATTAACGATGTTATTGGTCGTTGTTCACGAAGGCTCTGCGATGCTAATCGAATTCAACCCGTTACGTGGCACCGACGTTACATTACCTGAAAGCGCAGTATTCGTGATAGCGCACAGCCAAGCTTGTCACAACAAAGCCGCGACGTCAGACTTTAATTTAAGGGTCGCAGAATGTCGCCTAGCTGCACAGGTAATGCGTCTTTTCCATCGATTATTAAAATCCAGTGGAAGCTTGATTTCATTATTCTCAATATTTAAATAGCCGTAGTACGTTCACATTTTAATTAAACTGTCTTTTAACTGTCTGAACCAATTTTCCGATATAATTCTTCACGTCTCACTGTTTGTCAATTAACTAAGTATCGGTGACACATTTAATTTGTTGACAATATTAATAACGGGCTTGTTTGAATGACCTCGAATCTAATAAAAAGCCGAATTCATCCATCGTGTTAAATATTTAAGTAACCAATAAAATTGTAATTAATGGCTCGACAACCAATTTGTTCGATTCGCCCATTCGTCTCGTTCGACGGTGAGCACTCGAAGAATCGTTCGAACGTGGAGTTTCAAAGAGACTAATGAGATTGTGTTTCTATTAAGTTTCACGGCTGTTAAACGACAGACTTTGATCGATGTGTCCGGATGACGACTCTCCCTTCAACAACAGCAATATCAAACTCACAAGGGCAATCTGAACTGTCTGCTTTTGTAAAAACAGTTTTACCTTTTACCATTACTCGGCTTTCACCATTTTTTTCCCCTATAATTGTGCGTCAAAGAAACGTGTCAGATATCTAAACATTTTGAGAGACTGTTATCTGAGGAGAGTCAATCTCCGCTCGTTTATAGGTGATAGCAAAAAAAAGGAGCAAGCCTTGGGAACACGTGCTGAAATTAATCGATGCCCAGAAGAGCCTCGGTATGAGTCTAGACGAAATGGCCTGCGTAGTAACAACAGACCTTCACGAGGAACCGTACACATTGAACGAGGTATGCAGTTGACGTTGACAATATCGAAAATCCCCGTTCAAATAAATTATGTTACTGGGAAGGATTTTATTGATCATAAAAATAAACTACTTTATGTACAATGGAGTCATAGAATTTCGTATTAGTCATCTGTTATTTTATTTTTCTTATTCTACTGATAATTCCTTTATGCTGGCTATAATTCCTTATCGTTAACCAGTTTTAATTGCCTTCTGTAACTACTATCGGACAATACTTCGGTTTTTCAGATTAGCGAGTGTCTGGACACAACGATCGCAAAACTTAAAGAGTCACCGCTGTTGCAACCCTTTAACGACGCGCAAACATTCAAACTGAAGCAACGCGCCCTCCATGTGTATCAAGGTAACAGTACAGTAGTTTTAGAAAGTCTGTGCAGTGAACAGAAAAAAGTACATAGAATAGTTTCGTAGTTCGCCTTTAACAGAATTCCTGTTTGTCATTGCGAATAAAACTAGATCAATATAAAGTTCTCCCGTAAACAACCTTCTGTCGTCCCAGCCTTCAGTCGTACGATCGCGATTTTTCCCGGAATGTTCCTCGCCTGACTTCGACCATATTGTCTACAGAATAATTCATACATGCAAATACTAACGCGATTTACCGGGAAAGAGATTTAACCGTATACCTTTACAAACTAAAATTTCAAGCATGAACTCCATGGAATTCGATGACACCGCCGGTCCGTATAAAAGAGGAAACAGATAAAGAGGGAGGAGAATAGAATCGAAGAGTACTCGATTCATCTAGACCGGGAGGAACAGTATCGCTTATCAATCATTGTGTGCATTGTTTCGTGAGCCAATAAATTTTCGCAATGACAGGTTATCGATTGGCACTACTATTTGTTCGGAACCGACCGTAGACTATATTGCTTAGGCAACGTTACGAAAAACTGCTGAAAAAATCTTCTGCTTCCTTCATTCTTCCCTGCCCCTATTCATTCAACTATCAATATTAGATTTAAGGATGTATTGGCTATACAGTCAATCCCAAAAGTTTATGCACTTTAGAAACGCATTTTTTTAAAAGAAATCAGACGTCGGAAGAACATTGCTAATAATAAACAACAACAAAAAATTTTCGATTTTTCCGAGATTTTTCCAAGGGGTACCCCTTCAATTTCTTCCAAATTTTCGTTTTTGGCCAATAACTCCCGAACGGATGGACTTAGGGGGCCATTTATAGAACCATTTTGTAGAGGACATCGAGAGCTACAATTTCCATGCAAAAATTTTTCACTAGCTCTAATAGTTTACGAGTAATTTACAAAAAACTGTTTTTTCGTTTTTCGTCAATAACTCGTAAACTATAGACACTAGCGAAACATTTTTATATGGAAATTGTAGATCTCGACGTCCTCTACAAGAAAGGTCCTATACAATTTTCCCGTAGATTCAACGGTTTAGAAGTAATTAAGGAAAAATGAAATTTTTTGCCAAAAGTTCGCCGTTTCGACGCTGGGATGGTCGGATTTTGTCAACATCAATAAAATGCCAAATAATCATACGTAACTCGTTAAATATCGAAGTTAGAAGAAAAACAACTTTTATTTAAAGCATTTTTCGCAATTTTGAAGAAAAAATTTTCGCTAGCGTCAATACTTAATTGGATATTTCCTTCTATACTTTTTAGCACGTAGCTATTTATTATTAGCATTGTTCTTCCAACGTCTGATTTCTTTTTAAATATAGGAAATGCGTTTTTCTAAGGTACATAAACTTTTGAGATTGACTGTATAGCCAATACATCCTTAATATATATTTGACCAAGGGGCAAGTTTTGTTTTGAATGTCAACGGACGATCAGAGACGAATGTGCCGTACCACGATATGAGAACGAATCCAGCTAGCATTGATATTCAACGAACTTGCTCTGTTGCAAGTACGTTCGCTACTTAAGCGTGAATAATATCAATGAATTTTAATGAGTCGCTCAGTCAAATTAAATACCAATATATTTTAATGCACAAAAACAAACGGATATCGCTTTCAGTGTTTCTCTTATTTCAATCAAACGAAGGATTGTTATTCTGAAAATAGCCAAGCTTTCTGCCCGATTAGAGTACACGAGCGCTTAAATGACGTGTACTCTCTATTACTAAATGCACGCGCTTTTACGCACGTGTACCACAGTCTACATGCGCGCACGCTTTAATTATGAAATTTCAATCGACCATGCATTTGCACGCTTTAGAGGCTGCCAGAGTGATCGAGTTCCAACGTATCAATGAAGCCAAGAATATCGCAGAGGATGAAAGGTTGCGTCGGCTGGGCGAACTGATGTCCGCCAGCCACGAGAGCTTGCATAAGCTGTACGAGTGCAGTCATCCCCGCGTCGACCTTCTCGTGAGCAAAGCCATGGCTTGCGGTGCACTCGGCGCAAGACTCACGGGAGCCGGGTAAGTGCGACTTGGAAACCACGTAACAGGTCGCAAGCTGTAAATTAAATTTAAACATATACCAAACACGTGTTTCTTGTATTTACATACCGACGGTATGATTAAATCGGATAATCAAAGGAAATAGAAACGTGAAAATCCGACGAAGTTGCTCGTTCCATTTAAGAGATTATAGCAAATGGATGAAAAATTTACTCGTCGAAATGAACTACGAGAATTAGTTTGAAAGTTACTTTGCTTCCTGCAAATGGCTTCGGTTGAATTTCGTTTTACATTTGCGAGTTTAATAAGAAACGTGAAAAATATTCTTTGATAGATTTTGTATTGATCATTCTTCCGATATTTTTCTTTATAAGCTGGAGCATAACATTTTTGTGGCCTCGTAGAACCAAATATCTACGGTGTCTCAATGAAAACAAATCGATTCGTGGGCGTGTTTTACCTGTCAGCACGACAGGCCAAAGAAATTACTCTCATAACACGCAACCGAATCGCACAACAATACCATAATAATATGGGGGAGGAAAGATATGCGTTTATACGATTTTATTTTGCGTAGTTGGGGAGGCTGCGTGGTGGCGATCGTAAAAAAAGACAGGGTTTCACAATTTGTGGACACGCTGAAGGAGCAAATCCGTCAATCCGGCATAGAGGAAGGATTCAAGCTCGACGATTTGGTCTTTCTGACGGAATCCAACCAGGGTGCTGCAATTTATACGATCTAATTGTACTTTTATTTCACCTATTTTATCATTCCACGTTTTGCATTTTTACAAATCTATAAACCAGTCTATTAGTCATACAAGTTCCTAGTAATTATACATATATTTCAACCTAAATATACAACGATATGTACATAAAGCCAGTTCGTCAGTCTATTTATTCTGACACGCTGCTTATATCAACTTAGATTATATAATAAACATTAAAACTAAAGTATTTATGCAGTCTGTCATTACCTTCTGCAAGAAAAAATTATGAAGTTGTTTTTAAAAATAAATGAATGCTGCATGACGTTTCAAGGCTGATTTCCGTGAGGAGCAAGAAAAATGTGGAAAGAAATAGAGTATCTCACGTGTACGGTCTTCCCACATTCTCTATTAGGGAGAAACGCCTGGTAGTCATTAACGATCGATACCGGCATCATGTAACAAACGAAACGTCTGCGTCAGCTTACACAATCCCAGAACTTTGTCAAAGTTAAATGCGATAGGACAAAGAGACGGCATGAAATTTGTCAGAGGAAAATTTCCATTCGACCCAGATTCGAGTTAACGATATTCTTACGTACTCCGATCCTGCGAATTCCATCGCAGACACAATATCAGAGTAAAGCCAGAAGGAAGTAGCGAGAAATCCAGTCCGACTGATTACAGATTTGTTCAACGTTACAAATTAAATTTAAAACTCTATTACATAGAAAATTCTTAAGAAGACATTTTTCTCTTATTGCACTCTTAAGAATGTAGGAAGTATTTCATTTTATTTCGCACGCATACATCTGAACGTTTTTTGTGGGATAGGTCAACTACACCTTCTGAAGAATTGATATTGATTTTCCATAGTCTGCCCACGTCAATAAATTTCTCGATACGAGAAAGGCGGACCGGACATCGAAAGCTGGTTTCGCCCTTAGGTTTGATCAGCTGCTACCCCGATTTAATCGGCTTGTACGATGAGAGAAAAATTCAATTACATTTATTCATCTTCGACTTAATATCAATCCCACGTAAACATTCTCATAATGGTTCAACTCTTAAATCGCATTTCATTTTATTTAATTCACCTACATGTAACGTAATTGAATAAAATTTGAGTGGCGCATTCAGGAATGCTCTACCTAGCCCAAATTTCATAATTCTCTTAACCGAATCCAACAAAAACTTGTTATACGTCCACTTTTACTACCCGAAATTGAACGAAAAGCAGAGTTAACTTAATTGTAAGTCGAAATAGCAGCGTAGTGGAGTCGAATAGAGTACTCGAGGTAAGAAATCTCCGCTAAAAGAAGAGACACCGAAGTTCTTTTATACTCGTATAACTTGTACATACAACTTATTTATTGGAGACATATTAAACTTGGCAACTGAGCGTCAAGCACATCATGAATCTCGCGTGACAACAACAACGTTCGTGAAGTGCTGCAGCTAACAAGTTTGACACTGCAGGACGACGTTGAAATATAAACCCGGGGACACTTTCATGAGCACACCAAAGTTTAAGTTGAATAAGCTCGAAGGTTCACAAAGTTGTCTTATTACGACCCTATCCGCTTCCATCGCAAGGCCGCCTTCGTTATTGAATTCCTTTAATCTCATGAAGCAACCTTTCCTGCGATTCTCTGAGGTTCACATTCCTCTTATTCCCTGTAGTATTTGAAATCTCTGTGTTCGCAGACGGTATTATGTAGGACAACGAGGGATGATCAGGGTTAAACTTCTGATAGACGGCCACCGGGTTTAGACTTGGAAATTTGTAGACCTGCGTGGGTCGTCCATTGCGGTGGACCTGGACCGAGTAAAACAAGTCGGCGTGCATTAACAGTGTGAAAGGGACGACCGGTAGTGGAGACGGGAAAGTACGTGACACTCTGAGCTTAAGCTCGTCAGATACTCCGAAATTGATTTATGCTGCGGCCGTGTGAACACTCGCACTAATAAACATCATCCTGTCCTGTCCATTCGATTGGAAACGTTTTATTTACCGTTTCAAGACTAAAAGAATAATATAATCCGACGAGATAATAAAATTGCGGAAAACTGATACATTCCAGTTTGATCATTATTTTAATCTATAACGTGACCAGTATTTGAGCAATGTATCGTCTGTGAAATACAAACGAAACTTCCCGAGAGAGTTAAAGAAACTTTTCTCCCTGAAACTTTAACAATGTTCGTACATCATCTTTTTATTTCGTATACGAAACACAGACGTAGTTCGTTTTGTTAAAAATAGCTGTTCATGATTGAAGGTGACAGTTAAGAATAAGATCGCTGCAAATCGTTAATAATGTTACGTACGATATAAATTTCAACGTCTATCTGCTTGATTGTGTTCCTAAGTAAAATGCATAGCGAACAAAATGGGAGGGTATCGCGGTCCACTAAGTCCTCTTTCCGGACACGAGTTTCCGCTCCTTTCTACGTTCTCCCTAAAAGCAAAACGCGTTGCAAGAAAAGAAAGACGAACAAAGTTGAAAAAAGGTCGGTACATTATTGGGATAAAGTTACCAGAATGTACAGATCAAACTACGAACACCGGCACATCATAAATTTACAAAACGCGTATATAACTACTTCAGAAGTTCGTTTCAAACTTATTTAATATATTTTTCATCACAGTTTTATCTATCGTATATCTGCATATAAACCAGAGTAGAAAATACGTATTCGCTTTTGAGAATTCAATCTTGGCAGTTTTAAAACACGCAAGCTGATAAAGTTATGAAAATGTTTTAGAAAACTAAGAAGTTTTAGAATCTCGTGGTACTGAACAAACGTGCTTGACGGCTTTAGACTGATTTACAGCCCGGTGCTGTCATAAGAAAGTAATGCTAATATTAGAGACAAGACAGTTAATGAATAGCTCTATCTATAAATATCGCCTTCATCCGGGAAGCACACCGGGCTCTCTGTTTATGTATCCCATATAAATGACGCTGGTAGTATGATGTTATCCTAGACTGTGACAGGCCAGGAGGGAATGAATCCGGAATTTATTCGCAGGCTCCGCAACCTATCGATGCGCATACGGTAAAAGCATCGGGCTTACGCCACGCGTCCTCTCCAGCATCCCCAGACGTCCGTCAAATCGGATGCGGAGAGGCTTTTATTTTTGGAAATACCGTGTCGGTCCAATTTTATCTCTGCCAAAGAGAATATGAATTATCACGTACCCTACGTACGACCGAGAAATAATTACCGTGGTTTAAAAACAACCGCCGCTCGTCACAATTCGTTGGAAAATCAATTTTATTTTATAATTATTAATATAACATTACAAAGACATAAATTGAAGGAGACCTTTGTGGAAACTTTTATAAACGTGTGTTTTGTTATATTTCTGATGAAGAGTACTTGATACGAGCTGTCTAAAAAATTGCACGTAACGAGGGCGTCCTTCCCTACCGAAAAAAAAAACAAAACCGTTCGCTTTGATTTTCACATCCAGAGCGCAACGATCCGAGAAAATCTTCATTCGATATTTTTGTCGGAACGGTCGGACCGCAGATAGAAAAATGGACTCTAACTAAATATTGTACAAACAGAGAACCAGAAATCCGTTCTAATTTGCTATGTTCGTTATTAACGTTTTCGTTCGCAGTTCGCGGAATTCTCGTATGAAATTACGCACGTACAGCTACAGAAGATTTAAACAGTGGGTACGGATGATCTAATTAAGGTGTACATTCCCGACCGTGTACACTCGTTAATTAATTGAGAAATTAAATTCGAGAAGGAAAGTCTACAACGAGTAGAAAATTAAACGCTTCGCTTCGCTGTTGGTCGTTCCTGGCCAGTTTTCGTTTGTCCCGGTTCCAGTGCCGCAATTTATAGCATCTTCGCGTTTCTACGAGGTGAAGAATACTATTGCCTATGGTAGGATCTCCAACAGCTCTACCCCTCGTGAAAACGAATACCGCCCGTGTCTGTGTTGGTGAAATAAATTCTGTGAAGTAGGTTCTGCGGTCTACTACAGGTGTCCTGATTTACACCGGTACGTACAGAAAATTCTCTGTCCATCGTAATTGCAGGGGATGTAAGAACGAATACGACGAAATGGGGAAGTTTACGAGCGCTAGCCGTAAACGTTAAATATATAGGATATCGTTCCTGTTTATTAGCAACTTGAAATGGAATCGTCAGTCGAATATATAGACGTCATCGTCCGGAATGGAAAAGGATGAGAAACGTTATGAGCAGGCGTATAAAATTTTCATGCACGTCAGCGGATAAAATGCATAATTCGTTTTAATAAAATGACTTTTATAAACGTGTGTTTTGTTATATTTCTGATGAAGAGTACTTGATACGAGCTGTCTAAAAAATTGCACGTAACGAGGGCGTCCTTCCCTACCGAAAAAAAAAACAAAACCGTTCGCTTTGATTTTCACATCCAGAGCGCAACGATCCGAGAAAATCTTCATTCGATATTTTTGTCGGAACGGTCGGACCGCAGATAGAAAAATGGACTCTAACTAAATATTGTACAAACAGAGAACCAGAAATCCGTTCTAATTTGCTATGTTCGTTATTAACGTTTTCGTTCGCAGTTCGCGGAATTCTCGTATGAAATTACGCACGTACAGCTACAGAAGATTTAAACAGTGGGTACGGATGATCTAATTAAGGTGTACATTCCCGACCGTGTACACTCGTTAATTAATTGAGAAATTAAATTCGAGAAGGAAAGTCTACAACGAGTAGAAAATTAAACGCTTCGCTTCGCTGTTGGTCGTTCCTGGCCAGTTTTCGTTTGTCCCGGTTCCAGTGCCGCAATTTATAGCATCTTCGCGTTTCTACGAGGTGAAGAATACTATTGCCTATGGTAGGATCTCCAACAGCTCTACCCCTCGTGAAAACGAATACCGCCCGTGTCTGTGTTGGTGAAATAAATTCTGTGAAGTAGGTTCTGCGGTCTACTACAGGTGTCCTGATTTACACCGGTACGTACAGAAAATTCTCTGTCCATCGTAATTGCAGGGGATGTAAGAACGAATACGACGAAATGGGGAAGTTTACGAGCGCTAGCCGTAAACGTTAAATATATAGGATATCGTTCCTGTTTATTAGCAACTTGAAATGGAATCGTCAGTCGAATATATAGACGTCATCGTCCGGAATGGAAAAGGATGAGAAACGTTATGAGCAGGCGTATAAAATTTTCATGCACGTCAGCGGATAAAATGCATAATTCGTTTTAATAAAATGGAAAGAAATTTCAAGGTAGACGCCCCGTGGTTCGATTAGTTTCCCTGGATCGAACGAAACGTCGGCTGGAAAAAATCGAGCCTCAGTCAGCGGCGAAATGGCGGAAAAGCTGGCTACATTAAACATTCATGAGTCAAGATGTGATTAAGGTTCGCCCGCGATAGGTAAGAAGGTACGCGAGAATCGATCCGTCTTCTATTCGTTCTCTCGTGCGAAGCGACGACCTTGTCACGAAAACACATTTCTCGATACACAAAATTTCTCGCTACGCAACGGGAAAAGAAACAAAAGAATGGACTTTATATCCACCACTCCACTTGCGATGGAAACATTGAAAATCATTCGTGCATTTTTGCAATCGTCGAAACTAGACGAGTAAACATTGAGCATAGCCGCGAGGGACCGCTTGGTTAGAAAATGAAACCGGATGAAAATTGTCAACCCCCTCGGCATCTTATACTTTGATCAAACTGTTATAATTCTAGTGATAAATAATACTTTTTAAAGTAATTGATACCCTGACCTGATATTATAAATTATGATAATTAAAATTCAGATGTATATTTTTTAACATTCCCATAATATGTTTTAATCCTGGAGCAGTATTAAAACAAACGTTACCCGTGAATCCGAACGGCGCAGCAACATCATCGAGGTCCTAATGAAACTCCCGTCTCAGGGGTAACTTTTTCCATTAACATGCAGCGAATTTCCATCCGTTGATCCCGTGGGAACGCGATCCTGTTTTCCACGTGAAACGTACATACGAGTCCGTGCTGGTATCGGGCGATGCGATGGTGCGAGTAAAATGTGAATATGCGTCAAGTAATATAAGGCGTTGTTATTGAGTTGGAAAAGTACAAAGTGACTGAGGTGAGTGCACATGCGCCCGGCGCCGTGAGTTTTCGCGCCGCGAACAACGCGAACACCCGGCACCGGTTTGCCAGTCGGAATCGAGCCACGGCACATGTCGCTCCGTATTTGGCCCATCCACTTCGCCAAATACGAAATGTTTGGGTGTAGCGTCTTCACGTCCTCGCATCCGGTCGGTTTTCACCACCAGCATGAATCGCGTGCAATCGCGTAGTTGGCTGACCGATTCGTATGCCGATCGCGTTTGCCTGTGTACATAACGTGTGCTGTCATTCACGCGTCAAAAGCATGACTATCATGCAATCCTGTTGCTGTTGGCGCTCAGTGAGGAGGGGTAGTTTCGCATGTGCCATTTATACAGGGGTGAGCATGAAACACTTATTACCATTCATCTTTGCATAGTTAGTTCAAAATGTATTCATATACTTTAATTATATATGTATCATGTTACCTGTAAATCAGTATTTAAATACCATAATTGTTTCTTAATGGTAAACAAAATTTTGTGCATTCTGTAAGTTATATTTGATTTTTCCTATTCGAAAACAGCAAACATTTCATTTATAAACAAACAGACGTTTGTTTATTGATTAACTTTATATTGAATTTTAATTTATGCTGAAGAGGGCTAATTTCATGTAACTATTAGGAAATAAGTATATGTATATTGTAATTGAAAATTTTACGAGAAAATAAAATAAGATTGTCAAATGAAAAACACTGACACGACACAAATTTTACTGCCACGGTGGAATACGCGATATCAACGAATTGAGAACGTATATACGTGATATATTGCGAATATTGCAAGGTACTGAACGCATTTCGAAGTTTTACGCTTTTGGTACGACGATAAAACATTTTTGCGTTCGCAATAAAAGGTCATTATGATATAATGATACATTTGTGTTCGCTTATTACTTTCGTTCATCGACGCAGTTGGAGGAATTTATTGCTTCTCATAGCGAAAACTCGCGAAATGAAAAGTACATACGCAGTTTAAAAAATAATACAATTAAAAGAATTACAGTTTCTAATTAAAGAGAATCTATATCGATGTTTAATTAAATGAGGGTTATTTTATCCTTGATTAATTATTTAAACGCAAGATGCTCAATTAATTTAAAAGATTATGAATTAGTTGGTTCTGGGAAGATTAAATTACTGCAAATTAATTTAGGGATAATGAAGACATTCTTCTTTTATATAATGCTCATACACACGCACGTCCATGTACTTACCTTCTATTAAAAGCGTCGACGTCTCTTCTTGTCAGCCCGAAAAAAGAAAATTGAACGGTGCATAATACATGAAAAAATGGGTCACCGTAAAAGCGGAGAGTCATTCGGGGAAGTAAGCACTCCTTTGGCCTCAACAATTGGCTATTTATTAAACGGTACGTAGATACCATTCATTACAGGGAAATATATTACGGTGAAATTTCTACTTTGCGAGTTCCTTGGTTATTGTCATGCCGTGTATATTTACAATAGATCGAAATAAAACAAATAACAGTGAACAGAAACACTCGTTATTTATTCTGTTCCTATTCGCACCGGTAGAAAACTTTATAAGAAAACAATTTCAATATTTGTTCAGACGATATGTTTATTATTCTGTGTAATGTGATCTTGGATATATTAAGAAAAATTGCTTCATCCCTCGGTCACGTAATTAATTAAAAGCTATTTTTAAACGGCATTCGTACATTTAAATTAAATTTACAAATTTCATGATTGAAATGCTTCCGTTCTGCGAAACGGAGTACGCAGCAAGCTCAATCGAGAGTGGAAGGTTCTCTCATATACATTAAATCATGATGGAAAATAGGTAACATATTCCGCGCAATTTAATTTGAATTTTGAAAATCTCGGCTCGACCGTGATTCGCTCCACTAAAATTAGATTCGATAGATCAACAGTTTTTGGAAATTATTATTCATTTAATCGATATTGAAAAAAATATCTCGTTTTAGTAAATTGCGTAAATTCATAAAACCTGGCAAACGGTAGATTTAATCGTTAGAATTTTCCTAACGTTCTCATACGATGCCTGACAATCCATTTAAGGGATAACGTGGAAAACTAGACGAAAAATCGATTTTCTTCTTTTTTTGGTATAACATGTCATTTACATCGTTCAAATCAATATGCAAATACTCAAGGGTTTCAACGTTGCAAAAACGAAAGGTCAGTTCCAGTCTCATTTTTTGTATTCACTGGCAATTTTTCTAAAAAAGGATAAACGTTCTTCTTTCATAGCAGAATTTTTCAAAACGACATGCACTTTAGCTACGTTATTCTTAATTGGATTAACTCGGAATTTTTAGAATATCTTTATAATAGTACAATCTTCCGCGCATACAGATGTGTGCATTCTGCAGTGCAAACACGTGATCGTTTAAAAAGATATGTATAATAAATTGCTAGAGAAAATTTAAAAAAAACTGCCTCAAAATTTGAGTAGTCGAAATGATCTTGTCATACTTGCAGTTGACTCCTGTATCACCGCATACACCAGAGAGTTTAGTGCATCACTTTGCTACAGTTGCTTGAATATAAACTTATAACTTTGTGATCGAGGTAGAAGTTTCCGTTAAAAGGCTCAGACGTGCTTTCAGATGTTTCCGCCCTTACTTAAACAAATGGTACAGGACAGTTTGACTGTTGTTTACTAGCTATTTTCGCTATCTCAAGACGAGGCTTTGAAAGGCGCGCTATTTTAATTAAAAAGATTTTAATCGCACTTCCCTAATCTTATCATTGTAAATAAAATGTCATCGTGTCATTACGGATTTGAACAAAAATAAATTGCATAATTTTCTTTTGTGGGCAACATGTTTTACGGTATCTCGTTGAATGAGGCTAACTTGTATCGGAGAGGTTCTCACACATGTACGGAGTATAAAATCGGAATTAATTACGTCGAGTGGCTTCTGGTGGCAATAACTTCTTCGTTTTGTAACCGCTTGCCACTAGTTTCGACATAATGATCGATATAACGTGTTTGCGATGTCTACTTACCATCGTTACGGTTTCACATTCCAATTTCGTATAAAAATGACATAACACGAATTGATTACACGTGCTACGCTAAAATCGTTATAAATCTGTGCAAAGTCACGTGACGGAATAAAGAGAAAGTGAATAAAAATGGTGGCAGGAAACAATGGTAGCAGAAATTAGATTTCCGTGGCATCTTGATGCGAGACACAGGGGCTGACGGCTGTCATCGCCTGCACGGCGGAATTAATTCGGATCGAGATGCGCGAGCAGCAATTTGATTGCAACTATTTCGGTGCCTCCGAGAGAACTATCCCATCAATCGACAGATCAAATTTCAATACAATTCAAATTGCAAAGAAAGAGGAAGAAGTGAACGGCAACGATATAATTCCTGCGAGAACCGAAACTTTTCCCGGAAGCCGCGATCGGACACTCGACAGAGAGACAGTAAAATTTAAACGCAACAAGATTGGAACGACATTAAAAGTTGGAACGGTTAGTCGGGAATGGGATTAAGTTAGTAGTTTTATCTGAACGCAAGGATAATTTCTGCGAGAAACGAAGAAATTAAATTCAACGCGATTACCTACTTCATCGATTTTAAAACGGGACGGAGAATATTGGCCATCAGGTTCCGAAATTTAATTTAGAACGGAATTACGGAGGGTACGGCAGCTGTATCAGCGGTATGCCTCATAAAGACATGTCCGAACGGACCCCGGTTACAGACAAATACCGGGCAAACCTGGAACATCTATTGCTTAACATTCTTCTCTCGTTGCAAGGTTCAAGTTTCCGACACGAGGCAGAAAGAAAAAGAAAATATAGAGATAGAAGAGGATATAGAGAAAGTTAGAGAAAAAAAAGGGAAAAACTTTTGATGAGGCTCGAGGATGTCTGAGGATGTCCATGACCATGAAGAATTAGTAATGGAGTTGCAAAGTATAATTTATTTCAATTAAGTTGAACTTACTCCGAAAACCGCCCACGCCCATTGGGAAAAGTAATTATACTGAAAAAATAACCGAGTAATATTCATTATTTTTGTTGACGAACTCTAGAGGATGGTGGATAAAAATTCTTCACGAATATTGCGTAGATTGACAACAGGAATAAGTTTTCTTTTACGGTGGATAACAACTCTTTTTGCAAAAGTTCAATAAAGCAATTAATCGAGATGTAATAGTTTCAGTTTTAATAAAGTGTGTACCCTATCTTACTTAACCCGGTCGTGTAGAAAGTTACGTAACTCGGTTCAGGATAACCACTAGATCATAACTCCGATCCGCTTCAAGTTCAGATGCTGTCGCATCGACTACGGTGTAAAAATCCTCTCCTCGAAAATTCACATTCTCTTATAAATACCTGCGATGATTTTTTAGAGTATAGGATCAAATATAAGAATTCTTTTGAAACCTTATTCTAGGAAGAAGCAATCCTGCGATTGACTGATTGTTGAAAATTTGATTACCCAGGAAATGGCTAATTTTAGGTGGAGAACCCGAAAACGACAAGATTCGCGACTTCAATTATTCACGTAGAACAATAGCGAGGCACGGAAACGCTAAAAGCTTTCGCAGACCCTTCGCGCATGTTTTATTAGGTGGAAAGTTTAGTGTTCTCTTCCGTGACTGTGATTCGATCGGAACAATAAAATTATCGTACGAGAGAAATGTTTTCATTCGGCACTTGCCACGCAACTGATAACTGAATACAGTTACGTCCGCGGAATTTTTGAACCCAAATGGCGTTAAATTAATTAAAGTAAAAATTTAACGAAACCAGACACTGGAAACGCGAGATCTCCGGACGAGATACGATATCATCATTTTACGTTCCCTTTTTTACACATACATTGTTCATCTGTTCCGTTAACGATTTCAAAATGTTGATCTTGAAACGTGGATTTGAATTAAAAGTTGAATTCGAATGAACGAAGCTGCATGGCGAAAGAAATGATAAAAATCGGATCTCTCTTGAAGAGTGGAATACCCATGATTTGAACTTATCTTCGGAGAGAGTTCATTTTATCCTACATTTACTTTACCGGACAAAATCTCTGTCATTCCATCCCTTGGAGGTCCGCGTTCGGCAAGTAGAAAATCCAACAATGCTAGAGAAGAAATGAGGAAGAACGAAAGAGTGGATTGCCTGCAGAACAGGATCCCCAATTGTCTTTTTTTAACTCCATGTCACATTATCGTGAATGAAATGCTTCATGCTGGAAGCTTCAAGGAATATAAGCAAGCAGCTTCTCGAGAAATTCTTAGTTTCATTGTAATTGCGATGTGAATGCGTATATGAGTACAGGCTAAAGTGTTAATACTATTCAGGCAGAAAGCTAAGAAATTCCAATCGTGCCATGGAAACTCGCTATGTATACCTACTTGACGCAAGATAGAGTCAAAAGAAACGGTGCAAGCGACGTGTACCATTACACGGACTTTCCCGTTGAGTTTCTGTATCCGAGAAGTCATATCCACCAAGGATAGCGATTCACCTCTCGTATAGGCTATCGGCTTCTCGTGGATCGTCTTCTTTACACCAGGCGAGCTCCCCTTTTCTACTCAAACGGCGGACATAGCTCCAATTTCGAGGACTTATTGAATTCCATGGACGGATTCTTGGATATATTGGTTTGATTGCGTACCTACGATCAAATCCCATGGAATAATACCTAATGTAACATTTACATAATATTATGATTTACACGATGTTTAAAAAAAAACAATCCAATGGAATTACAATTATATTTTCCTTCTGCTCGATCATTCCACTCATGCGTTGTCCTACCGTCCGTTTAAAATAAAATAAAAAATACACTTTATCTCTCATCCCTCCGATTTTAATAAAATATATAATAGTATTCGGTATCGAGCTGAATGAATTATACGTGGTACCCCCAAAATCTATCAGAAATATTTTTATATTCCAACGACGTTTCGGAAATTCCCTCGATTTATCGATTCACTACCGGATAATATATGACCGCAGGTATGCAAATGCGAATACGTTAATTCATAACTGTATCGCAGTCCGAATATACATACATATAATGTTTTCATTGTAATGATGAAATAGCAAAAAGGTGCCATTCCTCATTAGTATCGCGGATGATAATCTCCTTTCCATTCTCTATCGCGTCACACGAGAGCGGAGCTTTGTTTAGTTAATCAACGTTAATACGCGACCATTAAGTTCGCCCGCTCATTGATGCAGTTTACTTAACATTTTATATTATCATCCGTTTATAGCTGGATTAAATGTACCTAGTTTCGAACGCGGCCGGAATAACAGCCTCTAACCGTGTCATTGAAACCAGCCTCTTTATGCACAAAGTTTTACGTAAGCGTCGAAATACGTGTTTTCACGAGAAACGATCACATCATAATTCCTATTATATTATACATATATGTATGCAATCCCCGTGTGTATATATTTATATACTTTTAATAATAGCTCCCAACTCGGTACAAAAGAACTGTTTACTTTAAATATCAACGGACGGTATTTTCCATCTTTATCGTACAAAAATACAGGTAAAAGGAATCAAACTTCGAATTCATATGAAATATCATCGACACATTGAATTATTCAATAGTTGATCTCCACCAATTTATATGTGAAATTGATCCTAACGTCATTATAATACATTATGCCCTTTATGCACCTTGCGAGTCAAGGTTCAGCATTAATCAAGGTTCAGCATCAAAGAAGGAAAGAAGTGTGGCCGTGGGTGTTTGAAACACGTAGACGGAAAGTTGTCTATACAAGATGTCGAAATTAGTCCACGGCCTATGTCCAGCTGTCCAAAAAGAGACAATAAGAGAGACAGGGGAAGGGGGTTGGAGCAATTTCAATAACCCCCGTCACGTAGAATCGATAGGTTCGACGAACAAGAAGAGGGAGGCTCAACGCACCCCTCGAGTACCACGCGTTTCCTTTCAGCAACCATCCGTCGTCCTTTTCAACCACCTCACGGTCGTGTCAGGTCTCGCATGCGACGATAGGATTCATAACGCGTGTCAAATCGAGCAATGAATGATAAATGTTGACAAATGCCTCGCCGATGGAAATAAATTGAGTAAAAAGCCCCGTATACAGATAAGCGCGATCCTCTTCTCCCTCCTCGATTACGACTAAGCACTATTGTTAAGTATAATTGATGATTAAATACGTTATATTGTACTAGAAAAGCATTTCTGTATCATTTCTTACAATTAGAGCGAACAAACGAGCATGCACGCTGCTCGTAATACTATTTTACTAATCTAGTATAAAGAACTTTCGTTAATGAGGCTGAAGAGAACACTACAACTCCACTAAAGCGAGAACCAGGGAAATTTACTTTGGTCCGTGGCAAGTTCACTGTAATCCGACACATTAAATTATTACGCGCACTTTTACAGAGCTCACAGTCCAGGAATTCATACTAATTGATCAAAGGGTAAAACTCTCAGGTCAGTACACACGAAGCTGCATGTAAACGCGTACTTTCAGTACGAACCGACAACAACTCAAACAAGCTGTACAAATCCCCCGTTTAATTTCGAACCTTCGAATTTAATTTCACCAATTTACCGTGAGATGGTACCGCGAAACTCTAGGACGATATCACGTAAACCCTTAATTAATAGGTTCGACGTACAGAGAAAGCGAAAATGGACTACTATACGTTTCAGATATACTTCGCCGTATTGGCGTTAACCACGGGTAAAGTGCTCCAGGGGGAGAGTGAGTATCTCCGCGGGAATCGTTCCTTGCCAGAATCTACCAGCTTCCTCGAGCCGGAAACCATATCCCCAAGTGAGTATGTAGGCTGTGAACGGCGAAACGTTTACCGTTTAGAAACGCACCACGAACAACATCTGGCATTCTCTCAAATTGTATGGTTATTTGTACAAATCACTATAATACGAGGCCGGTGCACATAATTGCCTGAAATCACACACTCCGATTCGAACAATAAACGTCTCACGTTCAACATGCTTGTATTGCTTCAGCTACAGTATGGTTTAACGTGACGCTGCTTATATGCTCGTCCAGCGGTCTGATTTGCAGCGTCCTGCTTCTCTATGGCCTCTGCAAGGTAAGACTCGTACCTTACGTAGTTCCTATCGTCTTATGTCCCGCAATCCTGTGCCGTAATTTGTTTAATTTCGGACCCGATGAAAAGCGTCCGGGATGCGTTCAAGGTGGAATTAGTACAGGAACATCTGTTGGAAAACGTACAGACGAGTTATAAACGGAGGCATTTAAAACATGCTTTTGAAAGTTTCCATTAGTCGAGCTTTCTGTTGCGACGGACATTGTCTGAGATTTCACGGTGCGAGTCACATTCTTTATGGACAGGGAGTTTAAAATTTCTCGACAGTTTAAGTTCTTGCCAGAGTTTCAGCGAGAAGTTTCCGTAGAGGAGACTCGGATAAAACGTTGACCGTAAAGTATCGTTGAAACGGCTAGATTGAAAGTGACTTGTTTAATTTAATCCAGCAGGAAAAGTGACGTATCGGTCCTAATTAAATTTCGCAGAGGAGATGAAAAGAACAGAAATTCGCGCCGTATTCTGAATGCTCGATCTAGATTCGAATTACGACTTCTCGATTATTAAATTGTACTTCAAACGAAGGAAATTGATATTGAAATTCCTACGAGTCTTTGGAGCGGTTCGCCACCCTAGGAAATTGCCACCGCAACCAGCGGTGATGTAGGCCTGCTGGCGGCATCGACCTTTCAGCTTGCCTACTTCTGCGGTGAAATAACAGAACGTGATATCAGTTTGCCTAGCTTTAAAAAAAAAAACGCGTTGTTTTAAAAAATACAATTCATCCACGGGTTGTTGCGATGAAATGTACATCGCAGAAAGATTTTTCCAGCCTTTTAATTTCATTTACACGTACATGCAGTCAGAGACAATGTTAAATGGTGATCCTGCAAAAAAAAATAATTCCTTTATAACTGGACCAAATAACTCGACTTCGTCTACGACTATAGGTGAGAAAACATTATCTCAGTTTAACGAAAATTGGATATCATTTACGGAGATGACTCTCATTTTTATTTAAAAAAAATTTGATAAAACGCCAGTGTCTCATAGTGTTACGTAATGCCATAAAACACGATTCCTAAAGTCTACCTGTTTCACGTCTCTTCGCTATTTCATCCTAATTCTCATCCTGGAATATGCATCCTGCACGCACACCAACGTTATTAATGAACAGTAGGTAAACCCCTGTATCTTGCGCAACGACGTCCGTTAGTTATGAACCATAACAGGGTTCATTCCGGTGGCGCAAGATTCTCGCGTGAAACGTGTGAAAACTGTTACGGGGTGCAAAATTAATTCCGGTGGGTTTAGAGACTCGATTTGGCTGAGCGACTATTGAAAGAGAGAATACCACACGAAGGATGTGACCGGGATTCACTGGGAAATAGAAAAGAAATAAAAGAGAGGATCCGCGTTCATCCTCCAAATTCGGTCGCGAATGATGAAACGAGTGGAGATTGTTTTCAAGGCTGGAATCCGAAAGGGAGTTCACGGAAAGGAATTTATCCGTATAACATTCAGTTAGTTTGAAAATGAAATTAATGTCAAGCACGTTTCCTGCTGTGACCACGGAATCAATGAAACATTACCGAATCTCGTCTACTATTAAATTCGTGTCAAACCAACTAGATGCGTAATTAAATATGTGCATTCATATGTATTACGTAAACTGTATTAGTGCTAATTACAAGTGTATTACGTTCTTAATAGAAGTAAATAATCCAGTAAATAAATAAATACATAGATATTTCTGTTTAGTCTTTAGTTGTTTCTTTCGTTTAGGAAAAATATTATATACAGTGTACAATGTAATAAGTCTGAACGTTCCTTTATCCCTCGTAATCGGTGTCTTATCGCTCTCGTATCGGTTTTCTGGTTAGCTCCTCCCAAATGACGAACAAATCTACCCTTCGGGGCAGAGGGATGCAATTTTTATCATCGCACTAGAGAAACCGTGGACACGAGTCGATGTAAAAAAATCTCAACCAATCGATAAGTTGAAATGGGATTCTCAGAAGCAGCATTCACCTCGAAACTTATTTCTATTTTTTGTGGCTGATGCATGTCTCGTCTACAGATATTGCGCACGAATTTCAGGTATAGAAAACCAATAAACAATTTTTACAATATTCAGTTCCTATGTCTTATAAAACATGAAATCCTCTGTGATAGAGAGGATTCCAAGGAATAGTAGTAATTAGGGCATGCATCATTGCTCTGAAGGATTTATGGTACGAACCCCTGGGTTCAGAAAAAATGGGAAAAGCTCGAAGAGAAATGATTCGTGTCGTATCCAGTCAACGAGGAGGGGTGCGCACAATTTATGAATGAGATAAGGCAACACTCTCGAACCGACATCAGCCAACCGCGAAATTTCTTCCGAATCTTCTCAGCCACTATATCTCAAAATATAGCGCTATGCAAAATCGAGTTCTTTTCCTATCAGGAATTAATTGACTGCGATCGTATTATTAATGAAGATATCGAGTCATTTCAATTTGCTCGAGGCTATTATCAATGGATCGCAGATTTTTATACAAAATAAAACGCTTATAGTATCAGTTCATTATTCAGAAAATATGAATTAAACAACTCCTTGCATTATTCACCAAGGAAAGATTAGTAAAGTCTGGTAGTTTTATGGTATTTTGTGTTGCACGAAAAAGTCTGGAATTTTGTATGCCTTATAGAATATATTGCCACCGAAATAAGAAATAAAAAGCAAAACTCTCGTCGATACCGTATAATCTACTTATAAACGGACCGTATAATCTACTCACAGACTCGATACGGACGGTGAACGAAATAATTAATCGATTAATCCTGAAGTATTCGAGAGAAAAGAAAATTGTACACGACCTTCTCTGCAGGTAATAGTAATACCTACAATTTTTATCCGAAGCATTTGTCGAAAGAGAGAAAAATAAAATTTTTATTTTTCCGAAATGTTGTGAAGTATGAAAAGTTTTTTCTACCGTCAATAGTTAACAATAAAAAAATAATATAATAATATAAATAAAAAATAAATTTTACAATAAATTATTTTATCGTGTTTTGTCAAATATTTCTTTGGATCCCATTTGTTGTCCCAACGATTACATAGACGCTGCCACTGTTTAATAATATCTCCTCGGTGCATCATTTAAGCAGCCTGACATACATGCAGTTCTTGGTATTTCATCCATTTCTTATAATTTCTGCGCATTCCATTTTTCAACAAGTGGATGAAACCCATTGTCTAATTATTATTAATGACATTAACGTGTTCTGTTACTTTAAACGATCCAATGGCTTCAGAAAAGACGGGTTGGAATCGCGGCAAAGTTAGAAATAAATTCGCGAACTAGATACACAGTTAGGGGATGATGAAATGTGGACCCGTTAGCCCCGGAGAGGTCACTAAGTTTTCAAAGTGGATTTCGTCCTGTCCATGATACGCTAACGCAATTAAGCCCACCGGTGAGTTAATCTCGACTTCATCGCGTTCATCGGAAAGAATCATCAATATTACAATCCCGTGGAGGTATTTGATGAAACGAAAAAAGGCCAACCAGAAATATCAATTCTCGTCCTGGTGCTGATTTATCAGTCCTATTATTCAAACTTGCAAACATTTGTTTCACGTAAAGCGGTAAGGGATCGGCTCCACGTTCACATTTGGCTGCTCGTTTGTCATCGTCTCTTTTACAATCCTTCGAAATTGATTTCCTTGAAACTCATTGCAAATAGAAAAGAAGTAAATCCAAAGGATCACCGGTTTAAACTCTTATGTAAAATAGTTAATGTTTCTAACAGTTGAAGTGAGCGGACGCCCACTTTTTTCTATTGAAACTTTGCACGTGACGAGTCGAAACGAAGTTGAAACTCAATCGGACAATCTAAAGCCCCTCGGTATCCTACTTTCAGAGTTCGGAATGAGCATCGCATGCACAAACATCCTGCAAACAACTACGAGGATCTATCAAGCAGATGTGCAGAACTCGAATATACTTGTTAGCTGTTTGAAAAGCGTTACTGTGTCTCTAATGTATAAATTGTATTCCACGAGGAATTCCGATGGTTAATTCAATTCATCCTGACGATTATTAATGTTGCAATTGCACCCGAGCCATGCGACAATTAGGATGTGAGATACGTGTCGACTCCCCGTGGTATAAATTTATAGCGTTGAACCGACGTACGCGTTATCACTATCGAACAAGTTTCCGAACAGATTGAAACTCGCGATTCTAGTCAGTAAATTTACAGAGTCGACCCGCGGCTCCTTCTTATCGATCTCCTCGTCCATTAATCACACCGAGCGCAAAACTGTCGCGTTTGTGCCGCGACGCGACGCGAGTCATGAATAACCACCGTGACGTTTTGCCAAGATCTTTATATTTTCGAGTTCTGCCTTGTCCTGTCGACATCGATCATTTTTAATGCGTTTCTTCTCGAGCAGGTAATGGTCATTCCGAATTTCGTTTCGCCCATTGTCCCGAACCGAATGATTAATCGCATTTTTTTCCTACAAACGCGTTTGCAATCTGAAAGAGGATTTGTAGTTAATGTGACGTAAATTGCGACAAACATTTGCACGATTTATGTCATGAATTTAACGATTCCGTACTCTTCCTAACTTTACGTAACTCTTTATTTGTGTTAAGTGATTATAAATTTGACTGTAGTAGTACTAGCTTCCGGAAGAAAGTGCCATTTATTCAAACTGTATTTCGAGATGAGCTGGAGTATTTGAGATCCTCTCCTAGTGAGCTTACGTAAGCATTGTGTAGTTTCATGTTTCGAGCTTGTAAAAATAGGGATTGTACAAGTAGTTGTTGCTCAGACAACAGAAAGAATTTCCATCTTACAATCGAAATTAATGAAACCGTTTAACAACGATCACTCCTGCGTCATTCTCTAAGCGACGGAGCATGAAAAACGTTATTTCAACTTAATTTCATTTGTAAACCTTAGTTCGTAGTTTTCTGGATTATTTAAAAAAGATTCGTAGCATCAGAAGATCGTTACGCCCTTGTAGAACTATTCTTGTAATCTGATCTAATGATTCCGAGAAAACATGATGCGATGGAGAGAAACATTTTCAACTCTTTCTTATCGAGAAGACGAGAATTCATTCGAGGTCTTAACCCTAGATCTCGCTTTGGAAGTGTATCTCATTTTACATCGTCGAGGTGTAATGAGCCGCGTCTGATGTTTCCAAAGAGAACAAGGAATAAGAAAAACAATGATCCCTTAATGGGCAGTCTTCTAGAAGTCTGATTTCTTCTTCTATACCATATTTACAAGTGCTCATTTATGATCGATGTCTTTCAGGATCAACGCGTCTTCCTCATACCCTGGATCGTCGCTGTCATCGCGACGTGTATCGTCGACGTCGCTCACTCCTTGTACCTATTCGTCGCTGCTGTAAGTACAGACATTTTCAATTTACATATAGAAATAATTTTTTAATAAGAGAATCCAGATTGGCCGTATTTTTGTAACCGGCATACAAATGTATGAGAGCCTGCTTATAAACATTAAATTATCCGAGTGGATAGCATTATCGAGCTTCACAGTATATTTGAAGTAATGAGGTTCCCCCAGTATTTTCTTTCCGTTCCGATAACGTTCTCGCGTATTTTTCCTGATTTTCGGTAGACCGAACCGTATGATTCCCTGACCGCGTGGGAAAGAGATATCTCTGTGATAATTACGGGGTTGTTCAGACCCCTGAGAACAGCCAGCTATAAGAGAAAGCTATACCGCGTTGCGAACGTTATTTGAGAGGCACAAAACGCGCCTCACGAAATGAACAATAAAAATATTGTTCAAAAGGAAACAGTATTTCAGTTGGCTCGAATAAGCCTCGGCTTTACGCGCTTTGATGAAAGCCGGTGCGATCTCCTTCGACTGGAAATTCTTCGACCCAGTTCCTGGGAGCGTTTTCAGCTTCGCGTTTTCGAATTACCACCGATCGGACAATGAAAACTTCTTCACGTTGAGTACACACGGAAGAAGTGCTTTTTGTTGGATGAGAAACGTTCTCTTTGCTTTACTACTTTATTGGAACAAGAATTTTTTTATCGATTTCACGTAATCTTTCCTTAATGCCGCAATTGATTGATGAAATCGCGGTCCAATCATCCTCAGAAAACTTAGTTCATTAACTTTGGTTCTGTTCAGGGAAACTTTCGCTATTTTTAAAGTCTTAGATATCCATTTTATGGCTTACAAGTTTCGTACAAGATTCGAATACCGAACATCGAACGGCAGCAGACGTCTAATATCGTAGCTGAACACTTGACCAAACGATGCGTTCTTTCGAAATTACCACTTCCTGAAATTTTTAAGATACACTACGATATATGATCGAAAAATGAACACAGCTTTCAAACCATTTTGGTCTTGCATACGTTTCTCACTAATGATTCAAGCCTGGAGAGCTAAATCGTCGTTCAAACGTACGATACGAGAATGTCAAGTGTTGTTACTTTAGCTAGAAAGCTAAACTCGACTCCCGCCGTGCTTTCACATATTTCAAGAAATGATTTCCTATTTCCACATGTGCGCGATGATGGATAGAAAACTTTACTCGGAAACGTTCACCATTTTTTCTGTATCAACTAATCAGGTCGTTTCATACTTGTACATTTACTCTGATTACCTTTCGAAGTCAGAACGTACGATTCTAAATAAATTCATGCATATATTGAATCCAGAAGTCCAGTTGAATAATAAACGATTCCGAACATGATTGACTAATTTCGCGTATACACGAAATGTATCTAAGCGGAGTTTCCAACGATTCGACGTTTTTCTGCGATCGTCTTGCGTTCGACTTTTATTTGCGTCACTCTAGCGTATCGATAACGCCAAAGCCTTCGAAACGGAAGCGTTTAAAATCAATTGACCGACTCGATAGGTCGTATCTCTGCTACGTACTGTATCTATCGAGCTTAAAACGCGTGCTTTGATACGAAATACGAGTGATTTCAAAGTATCTCGACCACACGGTAAACACGACGAACAGTTCCATTGATTTGATTGACCTGGAATTTTCCTGAAATCGTTCCAAAACATAAATGGAATTATTAAAATTTCAATCGAGTCAGATCAAATATTATGACGCTTAAAAATTGACGTAGTTAAACCCTTTCCATTTAAATCATTAAACGTCATATTCGAAATGCACTTTATTTAAATTTTATTTATTAGAACGGAATTTGTCATAACGACATGTTTTTAAATGGAACATCAATTTTGAGCATCTCTTTAACTGAGGAATTGTTATTATAGAACGTTAAGGCAGTAATCAGGTTAATCAATATATTAATCCACGTAAACAGGCTCCTCAATTCCTGCGGCAACGTGAACAGTAGAAATCAATTCTTGTGGTACTTGGTGTATATATATACGAAGCCACGTGATCCTGATCCTGTTACAAATCTATTCACAGACTCGATAAGAGCAAACCAAACATAGATTAAAGGAATAGTACTACATATATTCTGAAATAGAAAACGATTCTTTCCATCAAACGAAACGGTCTTTCTCCTATTTACATTGCATTTCGTGCGAATGAAACACGGGCAAACTAGGGCAAAGCATCGGAGTAAAATATGTCCTAAAACGTAAAGCACGCATACACACCCGAATGCGGTTGCACGGAAATGTCAGGAACGGATGGAGCGCGATAAAACGACGTGCGGGTAAAGGGGTGTAAACAAGTGAACGATAGCGTACACGAGGATATGCACGTGACGCGAGTCACGAACCATATCTCTATGCGTCGTCGCCGAGAGGTCAGGTGCAAAAGTTCATTTTGGAATAGCACCGCATTCGCACCGGCATGGGTACGACGTCGCGCTATAGTATACGCAATCTTCATTAACGTCCTTCCTACTTGCGCGTCAAGATTTTTTCTTCTACAGAGGGAACAAACATTTTTCTTCTATTTTTAATGAATATCAAATGAGCATCACTGCCGCGTCGTAAATCTTGACGCGTATTTTTCGCTTTTAAGCTAGAAATACAAGGCATCTTTATTCTTTTTTTTAAATAAATATGAAACGACCGTCACTACTGAGTCATAAAGCCCATCCTCCATCTCCCTTCTCGTAAAACACGTATTTCTTGGTAATGGCTATTTCCTGACCGTGAACGATAATATTGCCAGAGATTAATTCAACTACGGCGAACCCGAGCTCGCGTGATTGTTCTATGAATTAATCACGCATTCCCAATTCTCATGGGACAGGAATAAATAATATCATAATTGCAAATGATTAATTGAAACGGTCGTTATTTTTATCTCAACGAGTTTGTCTCATAGAAATGTCGAACAAATGAACAGTTGCCGGCATTAATTAATTATTTTGATTGTTCCCTGCAAACTAGTTATTCAAATGCCAATAATAATTGCAGTGATTGATACATAGACGTGCAACGAATGCTAATCGATAAATTAAACGTTAACGATGTAAACACCGTCACGTCAGTGATCGGTTTTATGTAATACGTTATCATTGCACCTATTTTTTTAATCTCTTTTATCGCAAGCTTGTTATTTTTTTTCCTTTGTATCAGTACATCCGATCCATCTGGAATAAAATTTCCGGTAAACTGAGGGGAATCGATAGAACGGATGTTTTCGATTCCCTCAGCCTTCAAGCCAATTCTCGAAATCTGCGACGGAACTTAGATCGCTCAAGTGCTTCGAATAGCTCATTTCAACAGCTTCGAGAACCGGAAACGAAATATGTGCCTTTCATCACATTTTGTTGGACCAGCGCCATTGTTTCGAAAAGAAAGAAACCGGAATTCTGAGAGGAAAACTGGAACGTGAAAACTTAGTTTTTTCTTCCATTCACAAAATACGGCATGTGATCTCCGTAAATTTACCGACCATACCGTGAGAAAGCTTTTGTGTTAACTGTGGCACGTTTCGCCGCAGGAAATCGAATAACGTTTTACAACCGGTCAACGTCGAACGTATGTACGTAATAGTAAACATCAACCTTTATTGCCGTCTATTGTAATCGATTGCCAGGACTTTAACGATTCCTCGATCGTTCGGTACACTTCGACGGCCATTTGGATAAACTTGAAACTGTACGGTGGTGAATACTTGGAAACTTTAGTTCGGCGAGATGTGACTTATTAATATACGATGAAGTAGTATTAATATAAGATGAAGAAGTATTAATATAAGATGAAGGAGAAATATTTCTGCATCGTTCGTCTAATTTAGAGATTTGATTTTCGTTTGATTCTGTTTCAGTCAAATTTCGACCCGACGAAAGTGATGCTGTACACGCTGAACTTCTTCCTTCTTTGTCTAAACGTGAGTACGCGTGAAAGAATTCTGCACATCAATCTCAATCCTTGCATAATCCCAGCTTCCTCTTTTCCACCTCGATTTTCGCTTTGGACTAAAGAAACTTAGGTAGAATGAATGCGTTGTCAAGCGGCCGGGCGGCAATTTATGGGCTATATTCCACGTATCCTTTACTTCAGATATATTCAGTGTTGTGCGTGATCTCCCAGTATCAAGAGTATATGGCCGGTCGGGGAACCGCCGCGGACGACGACGAGTACAGGGTCAGTATTCTGAGAGTCTCTCAACGGATACAGGAACGGAATAAAGGACAAAAAGTTAAGTGTATCAACTGTACTGTCCAATTTAATCCAAACTCGCGTTAATACGTAACTAGCGAAAAAAAAGTCAGTACATGATCGCGTGGATAACATTTCACTAATATATATTTATTTAAAAATCGAGAAACGCAGAACGATAAAGGAATCACGTTTCTCACAATAGCACGTTGGATTGTTCGTCGATTGATACGAATAGTCACATGCAATAACACGCGTATCGATCGAAATACGTAAGAAACTCGATCGTACTTTTCGACGCTGATTAATGTAGATTGTGTAGCTGATGACGTTACACATCCCCACGCGATGTGTAACATCGTTCATATGCAAATCGAACTCGTATTATTAGTTCGCTTTTGAAGGGAAACTCGGCGACGACCATGTCGTTTTCCGTAATGAACCTCTCTCAGCTAATCCTCATTCGTGTCGACTAATGCACACAAAGTCTAAAGGTTCAATGATTCTGCCTGTGATGCACGTTAAGTTACATGCGATCAACGAGACTATTATTTAAAAAATATTTCACAATTGTCTGATTAAAAAATTTACCCGTATCAGCGTAAAAGGTTCAACCGCGCCTGGTTTCAATTAAGAGTTTCCTATCGGAAGGAACTCGTTTGTGCTTCGTTCGCGTTAAAGTATCAAAGAGAAAATACAAAAGACAAACTCTATTAACTCGTTTACGTTCTGCAAAAAGACGAACGTGACGAAATTCAATTACAAAATGGACTTTACGAAGTGGCCTTTAAAGGTTCCAGCAGTGAGATACGATACGCAACCGCCGACGACGACTGCTACGTCTTACCTAAGTTCCCGGAGAGCGGCGACTAACAACGAGACCAAAGTGACGGGGACGCCAACGCAGAGTCCTACGGGACAAAACACCCTCTCCTCAGACAGGAGTCCTATCGCGGGACGAACTTCAAAAAAGCATGTCCAATTCCCGGACATAGTGTCCGAGAACGAAACGGGAAACTTCGGTAAACATTAACAAACTTTTACGTGCAACTATTCAAATTAAATATTAAAGTTTTAAGTTATATAAAGATTTTTAAAAATCTTTAGATCGTGTTGTTCATAATTGTACATCACTTAATTGCTATAATGATTTCTTAGTTTACACTTGAAGATTACAGTAAAACATAAAATACTGTCATAAAAAATTGTGTGATCTATAATATTATCGAATAATTTCACGTCGTGAGTATCATTTTCATAGAATCATTCTCAAATCGGTAGGATTAGAAAATGATTATTTCAACAAGCTGACGCACAGATGCTGGGGTCGTTGTTTGCACAGACTAATGTCCATCGAATAAAGCAAAGTGGCCGTTTGCAAACTTCGTTCCAAGCTAGCATCCAGGAAATTCGTTCTATCCCTTAGGGGAACAAACTTTCAGAAGACTCTCTCTTTTGATGTCCGAATTATATTCCCTCTAATGTTTGCCGTTTATCTCTTCGCGCTTTTTATCTCCATCACTTTCTAGCCCACCTTTTTCTCTCATCATATCATACGAAACGACAGCAATTTCAATATACTACAGCTATAACAACGAAATATTACTATTATTTTCTTCATTAAATTTGCATACTGTATCATACGATCTTTCGTACATTGCATGTCATTTAGTTTCGCATCTTGTAACAATATCGGATCCGGAAACTCGTAAACTTAGGATACAACATTATTTGGAAGTTTATGCTTACTAAATAGATGAATGGAAACGTCGAAACTTAATTAACTCAAATAATTCGAGTTTACCTCGCGTTTCAGAAGCCCGGATCACGGTGCTGGTACCAAAGTTGGAGCTGGATAATGAACAGACGACATCGTTGTCTCTGTTGAAACTCGAAGAGGCCACAGCGATCGATCAGATTCTTCAGTCTCAGGAACACACCTGAAATTCGTATGCGAACGCCGACGGCGAGATCTGATTCTCGCTTCTGGTTGCGAATTTCCCTTACCCCCGGTGCGATCCACGACACTACTGAATAATCTATCCTCGTGGGAGACACGTCCATGTACAATGTTGATTCATGGGGCATCAACGGTTGAAAGTCGTCGCGTCTCTCATAAAGCGATGACCGGTTCGATCGATTGGCGACTTTTCTCCGCGAATTGGTTCCCATTAATAGAATCTGCTGCGTCGGCCACTCGGCGATTGTTCGATCTACTAGTAACGCGTTTACCGAACACTTAAGAACACTATCATCGGCTTGAGTAAAACCAAAGAGGAAAAAATTGTCATCGACCTGCGGTTCCCGCTCGTAGAAATTCTGTAGATCGACGTGTTAATAACACGTAAGGGTAAATTGCAACGCCTAGCT